ACACGAGAAAGAAAAAAATGTTTTTTTTAAGCTAAATGGTTTTCCTTAATTTTAGACTCTTCGACTATTTTCAATTTTTCTTCCTGAAAAAGATTTGTAAAACATTAAAAACCACGTTTTCTAACTCTGCTCGATGAGCTCTATCCAATCATGTATAACAAACAAAAAAATTTTTTTTGCTTTAATTGTGCAGTAGTGGCATCTTAACTTGTTAAGTTAAATTGTTATGGCTTAATGTTTCTTTACAGGTCCATCAAGTGTTATATTATTGCCAAATTCAAATACACCCCCGATGCGTGTTCGACACTATTTTGTTTTTTCGTTGATTTCGTCAATATTATTATGCCCAGCAACTGGTAAGTATTATAACACTTTTCTCACGTTGTGTTTCTATTCATCTATTCTTTTATTTCCCAATATTTAGGTCTTATTGCATTAGCATATTCATTGAAATCTTCGGCTAAAGCAGATATAAAATTTTTGGATAAAGCACGTTTATATTCTCGACGTGCACTAATATGGAATTTAATATCATTGGTCATTGCTGTCTTTTCACTTGTCATGATGTTGATCTTTTTTTATTATGTAAATCAAATATGGTTACAATATGCAAAAACCTATGGTGAACAATTAAAAGATGAATTCAGTAGTCGATATAATAGTCATAATGTTCAATTATTTAATCCAGAACGAAATCCTACAATTATTGAAAATTTATTATCATCAAAATAGATATATATAATCGCATTGAACAAAATGAACATACAGCAGTAGTTTGCATTTTATCTCGCTATGTTTTTTTCTCAATTAAAACTCTAGTGATCTCATTTTATTAAAAATCAAGCTTGAAAATCTTCATATTTTTACCTTTTTGCAAATTTTATCTAGTTGTCGGTTAGCTGCAGGATATTAGAATGGTTATTTTATTATTATTTATATAGAATCAAAAAAAAAACCATATGTATGTAACTATATGTATAACCATATTCTCGATCGTCATTTGTTTTTATGAGAAAAACTTATTTGATTTGAAATAAAGTTATATAATTTTCAAAATGTAAACTAAGTTTGTAAACATCAGATGTGATGTTCTGTTATTCTCCACTTATACTTCGTCATAGAATTTTGATTTATTTTCAGTTTTTTGGATATCAACATTTTGAATATGTTGTACCATATTTTTTCACGTTTATCTAGAATGAAAACAAAAAGAATGCTTATGCTAATACGAAAAAGATAAAATATTAATAACATTGATCTAACAGACTAGAAAATGATTCAGACAATTTTCGTTTCGAAATATACTTCTAAATGTGACGTGAACTACGGAAAATTCTACTGTTAATATTCTAATTGAATGTACAATTATCATTTACCTTATAATCTATCCACATATTTTCTTCTACTCCATTTTTCTATTATAAATATCCCATATTGACACAGTTCTATCATTACTTCCACATGCCATCTGAAATGTATTTGGTGAAAAATCAATACAATTCACATGTTGATGATGATAATCAAACATTACTAATTGTTTTCCATTATGTCTACGATATAGTCTTATTCGTGAATCCCAACTTGATAATGCAAATAATTTTGAATCTTGTCGATATTTAATAACATTACAACCATTATTAGGTAATAATAAATGAAACTTTGTTTTATCTTGTTTTCGTAAACTAAATTGATTTAATTTTTTTTGTTCAATAAATTCAATTGAATAAATCTCATTTAATGATGTACCACACAGACAGGTAGCTATTATAAATTCATCATTATCATCATCATTCGTTTTTTGATTATCAACAAATGAACAAACATCCATCGCCATTAATGGTTCATCTTTATTTTCGATTACATTTATTTCTGCTATTGGTTGACTATTGATGAGATTGTAAACAGCTAATAGTCCATTTTCATATGCAATAAATAACCATTTGTCATTTAATACATGTAATTTCATTACCATACCACATTTATTTGATGGAGAAAATTTTTGAACAATTACAGATGATGATAAACGATAGTCAAGTGTTCCAACAGTAGACGATTCTTTTAATGGTACAACAATAAGATTTTGTGTGATATCACAATTACAAAATGAACAATGATTTAACTGATAAGTCCAAATAGGTGTTTTATTTATTGATTTATCTAAATCCCATACTTTTACAAAACCATCTTTTCCTAATGTAACAAAATTATTTTTATTTTGTGAAAATAGACTTAAACCAAATATACTTTCATTATTTTCATGTGCTTGAAATTTGAATATATTTGTACGTAAATGTAAATTATATAAATATACTAATCCAATTTGATCGGCAGCATATAAAAATGATTTATTATCAATTATTGAATAGTGAACACATGTTACACCCGATTCAAATGAGCGTAAAACAAATGATGGTTCAGGTGGAGGAGAAAACAATTTTTTTTTTGATGATTCATGTTCCATTCGAAAAAAAAAAGCGTTTATTTCTAAAAAAAAAGAATAATACAAAAGAATAATAGATATCCATTTTATTGTGCTTGTTAATTATTATTTAATCTTATTTTTGTTTATTTATTATTCATATCTTTACAATGTATACAAACTAGTGAATAAGAGAAAATATACAATATAGTAACAAACTATTCATGGTTCAACTGTTTGAAACAATATTGTAGTAGAAGAAATCTAAATTAAAGAGAAAAAAAAAAATCTCATTTAAAAGTTTTCTATATATTGTTCCAATAATAACAACAACTTACGCTTATTACTGCTTTTGTTCCTAAACGAGCTGCTTCATTAACATTTAATAATGCATCATTAACACGAAACGATTCGGCTCCATTATTAACGATAAAAAAACAATTTGTTTTCAAAATAATAAGTGCTTGTATGTGTAAATGTGTATTGACTGATAGATCTGACAATGTTGATGTTCCGATACGAAGCTGTAAGAAAATAGTTAGAAATACAAATTAATTGTAAACTCTATATATTTTGAAGTAAGAAACAAACCTGCTTTGAAAACATACAATGAAGTCGATTATCTGAGTACAATATAGCATAGGGTAATATTTGTTTACTTTTTAATTGTTCATAAACTGATTGATTTATTCCTATAGAAAATAATTTAGAATGAAATAAAACTAATACATCTTCTATTTTGTACGTACGAGATAAGAATGTCAGTTCAAATGGAATCAATAGATTGTCTAATGATCGTGTAGCGATATCTGAATGCAGAAAATTTATAAGAAATTCTAAATAGAAATAAAAATAAAACATTTCTAATGTATTGATTTAACTGAGAGAAAAATGTTTATACCTTTGCAAGTATCATCTGATATCGTGGTATTAGTTGTTTGTTTTTTACGATTCGATGTATTCATTGTCAGTGCTATCGAAGAATTAATATCTAAATTGACATTTGTTCTGTAACCAATTAGAAGAACAAAACTTATTTATAAAATAAAACCTTTTTGATCATTCAATCGACGATTTTCACGTAATGTTAACCAACATTGTTTTAAATCGATAACTGTACGAGTTGGCCAAAACTGATCTGGATATCGATCCAAATATTGATGTAATTCATCATCAAGTAAAGTTGGTGGTAACTATAAAAAAGAAACAAAAAACTAGTCATCAAAATTTGAACGATCAAAAATGAGTGACCTATTCATGTTTATACTCAACCAATAAGATATATAAATTAAATGAAAAGAAATGATCAGAGAAGTAACAGATAAGCACATATTTCTTTCTGTAATTTGTAGCATAGAACTAGATATTTACATGAGACGGTATTTTAGCTATTAATAATTCTTCTTGATTACTGAAGGGAATAAATGAATGTAAATCAATTATTTGAGATGATTTTAATTGTTGTAGTTTTGTTAAAATCATTCTACAAATATAAGATAGTGTAAATAGATTTCTTTTTTGATAGTTCCATACATACTTTGATACTGGTAAATCGTAAATTAAACAGCGCCAACGATCTCGTATATTTTTCAATGAAAATTGTGTAGAAAATAGAACTTTTTCATATACAATTTTCAAATCACAAAGTTGTAATGTGCTTGTTATTAACAAGTAATCATCACACAACGTCCAACAGCCCATTTGAACAGCGGCATTACGAACAGCAGTCTAAAAACATTCAAATTCAATGGTTTGATTAATGTAAAGAAGAAGAAAAAAAATATGTATTTAAAAATTATCACCTCTAATTTTTTCGATCGTGGTGGATATTCTTTACGTTTTGATTTCCAAATTTCTGTTGATGTACGACGAGATTTTTCATTTTTAGTATTTGAAATTTGAGGTAATGTTGGTAATACCATGATAATAACAATAATATCTAAAATATTGTCATAGAATGAATATTAATCGTACAATTTCTGTTTTCAATACTAAAAATATTTTTCAAATATCGCATAATTATTCTAATCATAAATGAAATAAAAATACCTTTATTTGAATAAACATCATACATAAAAATGCTATAAGGCAAAACTATAACAATGGAATTTAAAAAAAAAAAGAAGAGTATAACGATGTGAAGATAGTTAGAGATATACAAATCTTTTCCTATTATGGTGAGATATTACTAATTCATTCAACCACTGTTCAAAATTTGTACTTATCATGATAATAAAAAATATACGCAAAACAATAGCAATACTACCAGGAAAAATAGTTAAACAACAATATAGATGGAAATTAAAATACAACAAATGTTAGTTTAAAGGGCAGAAAAATAGGAAAAGTAATGTGTATAAATGTTATGGAATGGGATGTTGATAAATATCGATAAAAATATTATTTCAAAAGAAATAGAAAGTCCAGGAATATCTATCACAGGAATGTGTAATCTATTAATCACAGATCATCGGATATATTATTGAGAGGAAAACAAAACATCAGATCCACAACTGAGATTCTGTTGTGACAGAAAAATATCGTGACAATAATACAGCATTTTAATTGTTATCTATCAATTCTATTGATCTAGTTCAACGAGTAAATCATCTCCCTGTACTTGTTGTCCATTTATTACATGAATCTTTTTAATTTTTCCACTTGTAGGTGATTTAACAACCGTTTCCATTTTCATTGCGCTTAATACCAACAATGTTTGTCCTTTTTCGATCTGATCACCTTCTTTAACTTTGACATCGAGTACCTGACCCGGCATTGGAGCCTAGAAAAAGAAAGTGTTTACTTTAAACATTTATATTTAATACAATCTGTGCACTAAATGTTACCCCAATTTGTTCTTTCTTATGCTTATCGACTTTTGGATGTACTTTATGATCTTTAGATGCTGCAGTATCTTTTACTTTCATTGATCGTAATTGACCATTTACTTGAAAGAATACTTCTCGTTCACCGGATTGAGGTAAAAGATCACTTATTGCCAATACGACAATATGTAACGTTTTTCCATGTTCAATTTCAATTTCAATTGGTTCACCTAGTGTAGGTCCAACAAAAAATATTCTTGTTTCATAACAATCAACTGGTCCATAATTTTTTTTAAATTCAATATATTCTTCTAATACTTTTGGAAACATAACATAACTCATTACATCACATTCGCGTATTTCTTCATCACCAAATTTCTTCTTCAGTTCATTTTCAATTTTTTGAAAATCAAGTGGTTTCAAAGATGAACCTGGTCGTTCATCATATTTTTCTTTGCCTTTCAAAATTTTTGTTCGTAATGGTTCCGGAAATCCACCTTAAATACAAAAATAAAAGAAGTGAACATATAAAGTAACAAGGAAGTTCATCTACCAGGCGGTTGACCAATTGATCCTTGCATATATTCAATCACAGATGATGGAAATGACAAATCATCAACACGTTCAACAAGCTCTTCAGGTGAAAGTTTATTTTGAACCATCTAAAACGGAAATGGTAGTATAGATTAAAATAATATAGGAAAAACGTTTCTACTTACAAATTGTGCAAGATCTCCTACAATTTTAGATGAAGGTGTAACTTTAATGATATCACCTAACAATTTATTAGCTTCAGTGTAAGCCTTCTTTACTTCCTCAAATTGCGTTCCGAGACCAAGACTAAACGCTTGAAATTGTAAATTTGTGTATTGTCCACCGGGTATTTCATTAACATAAACATCAGCATTACCACTTTTCATTGTTGTTGTACATTCAAATGGTGCATACAATTGACGTGTTTGTTCCCAAAATGCCGAATATTCATTTACTTTTAATAGATCAATATCTGTATCATGTTTTGTATTTTGTAATGCAGCTACTAATCCACCCATTGTTGGTTGTGATGTCATGCCACTCATTGCATCAACAGCGACATCAACAACATCTGCACCTGCTTCAAATGCTGCCAAATAATTTGCTATCCCTGTTCCGGCTGTATCATGCGTATGAATATGAATAGGTAAATCGGGATATTTTTGTCGGATGCTATCAACTAATAATGTTGTTGCTTTTGGTTTTAAAAGACCGGCCATGTCTTTAATTGCTAAAACATGTGTACCCATTTTAACTAATTCATCGACTAATTTGATATAATAATTTAAATTATATTTTTTTCGATTTGGATCGGATACATCGCCTGTGTAACAAATGGCTGCTTCGATAACACCATTTGCTTTTCCAACAGCTTCTATTCCCACTTTCAAATTTGGTACATAGTTGAGTGAATCGAATACACGAAATATATCAATGCCATAGTCAACAGACATTTGACAAAATTTATCAATAACATTGTCTGGATAATTAGAATAGCCAACGGCATTCGCTCCTCTCAATAACATTTGAAATGGTATATTCGGAATTAATTCACGTAATTCAGTTAAACGATTCCATGGACATTCGTGTAAAAATCGCATACAAACATCGAATGTAGCGCCTAAAACAAACGTTGTTTATATAAGAGTGGGTCAGAATTACTAAAACGACTACTGACAGAATTACTGAAACGAACGTTTCAGTAATTCTGGTCCACCCTTTATATATTGTTCATGTATATAGTGTAGAAATTAGCTAACCTCCCCAATTTTCTAATGAGTAAAGTTGAGAAAAATTTTTTGCAACATAAGGACCGGTCTTTTTCAGATCTAAAAAGAAAAATATCATTCAGAAATAATCAACAGTACATGTTCCTTATGTGATCTACTCACCATAGGTACGTACACGTGTTGCAAGCAAACTTTGATGCGCATCTCTCATCGTCGTATCCATTAACATTGGTCTAAGTGAGTAATAAGAAACAGCATTAAATATCTATATTGAATACTAATTAACTAGGAAATACTTACTTTGGATGTTCTCTTACAGCTTTGGCAAATGCTTTTGGTCCACCCTGTTCTAATACTTGTTTCCATCCATCTGGAAGATCCTTTTTTTTTATGTGTGGCAATTGTGGTTTGATAACCGATGGTTTCACATCGGTACCAAGAGGTGTCAATGGACCGTTAACCAGTATTTCCGATATGTAATTTAATAGTTTTTGTGCCCGATTTTGAGATGGTACAAACTTAAATAACCCTGGATTTTCATCTAGAAAACTTGTTGTTATTGAGCCCTCTAAGAATTCTGGATGATGTAAGACATTTAATAAAAATGGAATGTTTGTTTTGACGCCACGTATTCGAAATTCTCTCAATGCTCGTACCATTTTTGAACAAGCTTCCTGATGAGTGCGTGCACGAGCAATAACTTTCACCAACAATGAATCGTAATGTGGGCTAATAATAGCGTCTGTATACGCGCTTGCACTATCAATACGAATACCTGAATAATAGAAAAAATCAAATAATGTTACTACTTCAAGAGTTCATTGGATATTCTAACATACCAAAACCTTCAGCCGATCGAAATACGTCCAATCGACCAACGTCCGGTTGAAAATTTTTAGCTGGATCTTGAAATGTAAGAAAATATTGATTAGAAATAAATGACAAGAGCCAAATATATATTACCTTCAGTTGTCATTCGGCATTGTACACTAGCTCCCATCATTTTTATTTTATCTTGTTCTAAACCAAGTTCCGGTAACTTTTTGCCTTCAGCTACTCTTATCTGAGATTGAACAATATCGATTCCTAGAATAAAACATTTTTGCCATAATTACTGGCAAAAAAAATCGACTTGCTGGATATTGAGTGCTCTTAACAGTAGAGATGAAGATTAAGAAGCAAAAATCGTCTAACTGTCGTATGATTTGAACTCAATAATTTCTCTACCTGTGATTTCTTCCGAGCACGTATGTTCCACTTGGAGGCGGCAGTTTACTAAAACAACAAGAGAAAAGTGACATTATCAGTAAATAAAACGATGTTTGAACTTTATACCTTCAATAAAATAATGTCTACCCTGATTATCAAGTAAAAATTCTACGGTTCCAGCGTTTTGATAACCTAAAAACGAAATCAAAACATTAAACGAAATATTCGATCAACTAGATAATAATAAACTAACCGACATGTTTCGCCAGTCTCACGGCATCAGCTGTAATTCGTTGTCTTAAGTCTTCAGCCAAATTTGTTGCTGGTGCAACTTCAATTACTTTTTGATGTCTTCGCTGCACAGAGCAATCTCTATAAAGATCGCAAAAGAAGTTTGTTTAATCCTATTCATAAACATTTGGCTTAGTCTACCTACCTTTCGAATAAATGCACAACATTCCCAAAATGATCACCTATTATCTAATCAAAGGAAATTCTATTATGTTATATCTGATCTGGAAGGATGCAGTCAGGAAGTAGGAAGTGAAAGAGAGAGAGACAGACATGTCTTTATTTTATACATTACAATCGTTAACTGCAAATGTGTCATACCTGTACTTCAATATGTCTTGATTGTGTTATAAAACGTTCGACAAATAGTGAACCATCGCCCACCGCTGCTTTTGCCTCCGATGAGGCACGTTGAAACGCTTCTTCTAGTTCACTGTCTTTTCTAGCAACACGCATTCCTCGACCACCTCCACCTAAAAAAACGTCCCTTTGTAAAACGATCAACTCGCTATCATGAGTTATTATTCACCTCTTGCAGCCTTTAATAAAACTGGATAACCATGCTCAGCTACAAAACGTCTAACTTCGTCTAAATTTTTAACTGCATTTTCTGTTCCCGGTATAATTGGTACATTAGCATCAATAGCAGCTTTTCTCGCATGTACTTTATTGCCCATTCGATATATAACATCAGGTGATGGACCAACAAATGAGATACCAGCTTCTCTGCAAGCTTTTGCAAAATCGCCATTTTCCGATAAAAAACCATAACCAGGACTTAAAAAAAAAACCGACTTGTCCATGATATTTATTGCAAATCTTTTTCCACTAACTTACTGTATAGCATCAACATCATTCCTAAGAGCTACTTTAATTATTTCCGGTATATTTAAATAAGCTTGAATTGGTGTTAAACCGTGTCCGATTAAAAATGATTCATCAGCTTTGATACGATGTAATTGACTTTCATCTTCAGCTGAATAAATTGCAACAGTCTTTATATTTTGTTCATTACAAGCACGAAATACTCGGATAGCAATTTCACCTAAAATAAAGCGCCCAAAATAAAACATTTTTAATGCAAAGGTTTCAAAAGTAACTAACCTCGATTAGCAACAAGTAACTTTTTAATTTCACGCTTTTCATATGGCTTTACTCCATTCTGTTGTTGTTGTGATTTATATGGTTTTTCTTTAATAGACAAAAATCGTTTCAAGAATGTTGATCGAGAAGTATAAGGAGATTGTAACAGTTTATTTACGCGATACATCGTTATAGGATATATTTCATTTCATAAATCTCTGAATAAAATGTTTAAAAAACATTTATATCTATAATGATAAAAAGAGAATAGTCATAGACAGTAGCATCCAAAGAAATATAGAAATATTCTCAGTTGATAGCTTGATGATTTAGCTTATCCTATGGATATAATAGTTCATGTATAGACGATAATTTTTATGTTATTATTCTAAGCATTCAGTTGTCTAAATGATAAGTATCTATCTATAAAATTTACTTTACTCTATATTAGACTGATATCACAAATAGATTTTCCAATGAATTATCCAAAACAAAATTAATTAAAAATGTATGTCACTGTGTTCAATAATAATCAGCAACTCTATCATAGCTTTCTCTCTCTATATATATGAATCTATTTTTTTGTCAAAGAAAAACACTCTTGAATGCATGCCGTTTTTTCTTTGTTGCATATAATCTTTTATACGAAAATAGTATCACAAAAAAATATATTTACATGAATACAAAACTTAACACGTTAGGTATCATTTTTTATCGTTACCAACTCTTTTAATACTTCAAGTTCTTCTATTGTAAAATACATTCGAATACCACTTTTCATCATTACATTTGAAAATAGTTTCCATTCATTTTCATCAATCGAATTTTCAATTACTTTCATATACAAAACCTAAAAAGATAAATCATACAAATAAACTAAAGATAAATAAAATAGGAAAAAAAATACTTATAAATACATACTTTTGACCACGGACAGTTTTGAACAGAATCATATAAAATAGATTTGTAATGTGATTTTGTCATACTATAACTATCGATTGATTTTAATTGTGTTCGCTCAATATGAATAAAAAATGACCAAAATTCAAAATAATTCGAATAATCATCGACAATTGTTTTAATCATATGATGTAAACGATTCTCGTAGCCAGAAACGGGTCGATCTAGATAAAAATGTATAAATAGAAATAAATTATATGATTCAAAAAATCATGATATAAAGGGCCCAACTTAATCAATGCAAAGGCAGCAAATATAAGAATGGAAGTGAAAGTAATAGAGTTATGGATCATACATTTCTAGAGTAATAAACCTACAGGATTCGTATTGGCAAAAATCAAAAAGTAGAAGTAGGAGTAGAATTTTGAACTCCATTATGGTAGGATTTATATCGGAAAGTAGATAAATGTAGAATGCGTGAAAAAAGGCTATAAAACGTTTGCACTGTTCACTGATTTAGTATAATTAGATCCATTAACTATAATTCATATATTTTTTTCATTTTCAGTAGATATATAAATTAAGAATCTTCGATAAAGAGTTTGCACTCTTTTAATATTCTGGTGCATTTGGCACGTTAAACAAAAAAACATAAACAGCAGAAAACTATAACTACTCTTCTGCTGTCTGTAGTATATGAAACCAAAAAGTCTTAATGAGAAGATACTTTTGAAAATTAATCGGCGTTTTTTTCTAACAAAACATGATGCCCACTTGAACGTATTAGCTCCGCTTCTCTTTCTTATTTTTTTTTTTTGTTCTTTACAATTTAAGCATACATTAATTAAGAAAAAGTTACGATATCACTAGTATATTCCCTTCAAATTCTGAATTTGAAAACATGATAAAGGAAAGACGAATTCGCATGCAAAATTTTCTGGAGAATATCTTAGTGCATTATGTTTTAATCCATAACGGGTTTAGATAGGAATAGATTAATATTAGACGAACTAATGGGCAAACTTTTCAAACAAATTTTAAGAATTATAGCAGCCGAGTAAAATGAGATCATTTTTTATATCAAAATTTGAACAGATTAGTAAGTGAAGAGGTTTTGAAAACTTGGATTTTAATATTTTAAATGTTATAGAGAAAAATGTTGGAACTGAATGTGTATAGTTTTGCAGAGAAATAAATTCTGTATCTCATCAATTTAAAAGAGTGCATTTACAATAGGTCATCTAATTTTTCTTTTCCAGGAAAGCTTAAAATATCAAAAATAACAAATATATGAAAGTCATACATCATGATCTTACTGATAAAATGAAAATTTGTAAAAACCTAGAACAACTAAATCTTTTTATGTAAAATTGACTAGAAAAAGGAAACAATCTTAAAAAGTAGAAAATATAGGATAAAATTCCGACAGTAGAACAAAGTAGGACGTTTTTAGTCAAAAGTAGAATGTTTACAAAGCCTGAACGTACCATTATTGTTGATTGTCGGCGTAAATTGTTTAATTTTTAAATGTCTCAGCAGACAATGAATAAGTGCATACGTTTTACTAATTAATCTGCATTGTGTTGTTGGATTGTTCTTAAATGACAATATTTGTTGTTCATAATCTCTCACAAATTTATTATAAAGTGGTAATTCAATCGTGTAGATAGACGAAAATTTTAATAATAACAAACATTGACAGTTAAGATTATCAAATATATTTTTCAAATAAGATGTACAATCACCATAGGTCAATTTTTGTTTGTTAAATAATTCTCTCCATAATAAACACAAGTAAAATTTTATAATTAAATCTAAATGAGCCGAACCTTGTTGTTGTTTTTTAAATAAGGGTAGAATTGTATCTATAAGAAAATTGCTCACAATGACGAAAGATGACGTAGTTATATACAAATGACATAGTGATATGATAAATAAATAGATACACATAGTCATATTTGTTCTTAAATACGATGCCCAATCATTTACAGATTTTTGATCCCATTTTGATTTGATTTCTTCTGTTCTAAAACAGTTTTGAACTAATGTCATTATATCGGTCAACTGATTTGTCTGAAATAATCGATAAAAAATGTATTCCATAATTGAAAGGAGATTAGTATTGTTCTCCGATTGAATAGTGACTTTAGTTTTGTTTAAAATATTCGTAAACATTCGATCAAATAAACTATAACATTCATATTCATAAAATATATAAGTTACTAACCAATGACACAAAGCATAACTATTTTCAAATGATTGACTTTGATCTCCTGTTTTTATTGTTTCAAAACATAATTCTAGCAAACGTTTACATTCATTTGGACGTTTTAAATATTCACATTCTAATCGAGCATAATGTGTATACAATCTCAAACATGTACGATATTCGTCCAATGATAAATATTTTTTAATTGTTAACTGCAACGTTTTCAAACGAATTTTATATTGATGAGTAGCTAAAATGAGAAATAAAAGTTTTACTTATCAGAAGTCAGCAATTTCGATTTTTAGGGAGAAGAAAGGAATAAACCACTCTCTTGTTTGAAAAAATAAACACTCAATAAAAATTTTTAGTCACTAAACTCAGTAAAACTTTTGAAACCGTATCAGCACATTTATTCATCTGTATAATACACAAAAATTACCTTCCTTTTTCAACCAAGCAGTGGCGCAAAGAAACTAGCGTTCCAGTAAGTATATCTCTATGTGATATAACTTATTTTTATTCAGCTGAGTAACTGTATTTCTTTTGCTTGAGACGATTCGATTGATCTTAGTTACTCACCTTCAGAGTAACCATTTTGCAGCGAAACTAAATCACAATGATTTACAAAAAAGTTTTTGTTACTCACGAGGAAACTGCCCCAACTCATTCCTCGATTTCGACTCCATCTTGTGGCCATAAGTAGACCTCGATGAGACTAAGAAAATCCTAAAATCGTTCGTATCGATGGCTCTTCGTTTATGAGATATGATCGACATTTCGTTACAAAACAAAAGGTCTTTTTACTTTTTGAAAAAAATGTTCTCTGTCATCCTCATGACTTAAGGGGTGAAATTTTTCATACAGCTAGCCTCATAGGTGGTCTACTTGCGCCAAAGATTTCAAACAAATAGCTTGTCGTGAACTGAAAATATCGAATTTTCAATTATTGGAGACGAAGCTTTCTTTATGTACAAACACGAATAATGCAACATTTCAAACTACACATGAAATGAAAAATAAGAGCATCTTTAATGATAGTTTGCGAGAGAGTGGAACGGCAATTTGAAAATGAGAGAGAGCGGTGAAACATTTTATCCATTTAAAATTGTGTACACCAAAAGTACACACAATAAACATTCTATAAGAAAGAAAGAGAAAAATTCTCTCGTCTTTGTTTACCTTGTGACTGATTCATCATCAAGTAGCTGAGAAAGAAGAAAAGAAATTCATTACATTATATAGTTTATGGGATTGATTGATCCATGTCGTACAACTAACAGAAGCAGATAGTAGTAGCTATAGAATATGATATCTCTTACTTAACACAATTCAAAAATTCGATATCTTCCAAAAGATGGAGTCGAAATCGAGGAAGCAGTTGGAGCAGTTTCATCGTCAGTAAAATTTAACTTATCCTTTTTCCAAAAATCTGTATCGAAAATGCTATCAGGAGTCATAGGTAAGTCGTGTCACACTTTCATCTAGCTAGAACTTTTTTTTTGATCGGTGAAGAACTATTCATGAAGTTTAACTTATTACCATTTTGTTGTTTTAATTCATATAAATTTGATGCTAAATAATACCAATAAAGTAGAATAAAATCAATACGATGATTTTTTATGGATGGTAATGTTATTATTTGTTGATAAACACGATTAATAAAATCATATGAAAATACTTGTTCAGTTTTAAGAGAATGTTGCTGTTTTTGATTGGTAATATTCCATAAATATGTTAATTCTGTTTGAATAAATAATTGCTCTTGATTTAGTGACGATAGAGATATCTTCATCGATGATAAAAGTTCATTTAATATACTTGTCGAATATGTTGTAGATAAAGCGAGTGGTAGACCATTTAAAAAATGTAAAAAATGAACAATTAATTGAACAAATTGTCGATGATCGATCAATTCGAATATGAACGGTTGAATATGACGATCAAATAAAACATTAGTTGAATCATCAATTTGACTAGAATCACTCATTAATCCGATAATTTTACTGGTCAAATGAATTCCATTGTTCATTAATGTTTGAAAATATTGTTCACGTCCTTGTTCTATTTTAGACCATGATAAAAGAGAAGATTGTTGATCAAATAGTTTATTTTCATTTGAAGATAAATTAATTAGTTCTTTTTCAATATTATCAACTATAATTTGATCATTAGTTGTAGTAGATGGTAGATCACCAGAACCATAATTTGGTTCTCCAAAACTAAACAAAAAAAATTACAGAATAAAATACACAGAACTACAGACGAGGACTGCTGAATACTGTTCAAGCGAGAATTATAGGAAATAATTGTATTAATGACTTACCGAGTTTTTCTACTGTTCCATTTGTCTTCGTATGATTGAACTTTCATTTGGAAATTGTTATTTCGTTGTCCTTGTATATCGATATTGATATCGATCATTGTTTGATATAATCCCAGAGCACGTTCATAATATCCAGATTCCTTTAATAAACACGTTAATAGATGAAACATGTCTAGAGGGGACAAACAAATAAATAAAGAAATCTGGATACATTATCAACTTGAGATTTATTAAACTTACCGATCATGTGATTGATAATTAATTTTTTCTCTTTTTCACTTCTTGTTTCTAGACGGTATTTATAATTTATAAAGTAATTTTTAAAACATAGAAGTAATTTTTCAATTGAAAATATTTCAATATGATTTGATAGAAATTGAACGTATGAAAACCATGTATCATTGATTGTTTTATCATCACTCGATTTTAAAGTATCATTTGTCACAAAACTATTCCATTCTATCATCAATTGTTCTCTTTCAACAAATGGACATTTTGTTTTTATATTTAATTTTAATAATTTAAACATTAAACGATTTGGATTTAGCTCTATTGCACGATCAATAATTGATAGTTGTTTTTCAAATAATAAACTTTTTTTATCAATTATATATTGTTGATAATCAATTAATTCTTTCCATAATTCATAAGAATGTGGTTGTTCACGAACTTTGATGTTTAACTTCTCAATATGAGATTTAGTTTCACTGTCATGAACAGATGATGAATATTGTATTTCATCTGTTGTCTGTTCAATAAGATTAGGATGAAAATAACGAATAGTTCGTTTTGGACGATGTTTCATTATTTTTGATCCAAGTGGCTTTTGTGAACGATAAAGGCTTAAATTATATTTTGGTATACGAGTATATTGAACAGTTAAATTTGCACGATCACGATGAAGATCAATCTCGTATAGATCACTACATTAAACATAGAACCAGCGAGTCATATTTACTATGTAATATCGGATAAAGATAACTATAATAACATACTTTTCCTGTTTTTTATTGACATTTTTTCGAAAACAAGATGGCAGAGTTAATTTTGTATTATCTTTCGTTCCACTATCCGATGTTAATGGTTTTTTGATTTCTGTTCGAACGACTGATGGTCTAAAATAAAAGTATAGAGGTAAATAATACAAGTAAATATTACATATAGAAAATTTAATATAAACATACTTTGTTTCTCTGATAACAGGAGATTCTACTACGAAACTTGAATTCTGTAGCCAAATATCTTCTAAAAAGGAATGGAAAATTTATTGTTCATCTCTGACTTTATGCTAAATAGTTTCTTCTTACTATTTGTATCCTTTGATGAAGCTTGTACTATAACTTTCTCGTTATCAATAACTTCCTGTTTCGTTTCTATATAAGCTTTGAACATGTTGAGAACTTTTTTTGTACCTCACGTTTTACACATCACAGATCTATCTGAAATAGGCGATGAAAAACATCATGCGTGTAACTTAGGTGACAAGAATCATTCTTATCAGTTATGAGAGACTGAGCGGACATTCTCGTTGTATCTTGTGGGATAAAAAGAAAAACATTTTCACAACTAGATTCGTTGATTGACATGCCAATATGTTGCTTAAGACTTATAAGATGATAGACTGTCTATAAAATTAGTCAGTTCATAACGTAATTACAACAACAATCATAGAAATCAAAGACAAGAGATCTGATATGGGCTGGTAACTTAGAATCTGTGCACAAAAGTCCGAAGGTTCTATTTTTTTCTGTTTTTGATTTGATTCCAAAATCTGAGCGCGTTTGAAGCGGATTCAGATTTTAAGTTGAACTGAAGATGGAACCTATGTTAAGGTACTCGAAATCGCCGTTATTGAGAGTAAAGGTTACTATTTGACAATAAAAGTACTAGAAAACTGTTATTAAAATTGAAACAATTTGATTACTCGTTTTTATCAGATATACTCTATTAATGTCAAAGTGATAATCAGAGCGTTGAACAATAACAATCTCCAAACTTGGATAATATATCTTGCTCCAAACAACTCTGATTAGGTTATGTTAGACAAACACATCCTCCTTCACTATTCTCAATGTGTTATTGACGAAGTTCTACATTTGGATAAGTTACAGGAAAATATCACTCATTTCTGTTCCTATTCTTAGGAATATTTTTCTTAGCTCTATTCTGCAGAATAGCACATCATGCAAAACGCGTAACTCTGCTACCGGAATCTCTGTGCGTTACCGTTTTTTCTCTTTTCGTCTATCCTATAATATTCGGCAAGAATATTGTAGAATCCTGGAAAGCGTCTTGTTTTGTAGAATGAAGTGCGTTCTTCAAAATCCACTACCAGCTCAATTCAAAATAATTGACGCTTTTTATGCTACACTTAAAATACGAAGAGCCCCCAAAACATTGTCGTTTGTTTTTAGGACTTTTAGTATTTCGATTGTAACCGAAAAGTCGTCAATTATTTCGAATTGAGCTGGTAGTGGATTTTGAAGAACGCACTTCATTCTACAAAACAAGACGCTTTCCAGGATTCTACAATATTCTTGCCGAATATTATAGGATAGACGAAAAGAGAAAAAACGGTAACGCACAGAGATTCCGGTAGCAGAGTTACGCGTTTTGCATGACATAATAAAATGCAACACTAGTCGACATTCTAGCAGATATTGCATGATTCTTGCCTACTGCCATTTCAGACTTCTCGTAATTCATTCTTATTTTTTGAATGTGTAACTAAAGTGAAGAAATGCGAGAAATCAAAGGAATCTTTGTCTTGTTTCTTGACTAACAGCTGTACTAAACCAGAAAAAATGAATTATAAATACTTTTAATACCCTGCTGACATCGCTTCGAACATCAAGATGTCACGTTTTTCTTCAATGAAAATTTTTTTTCTTAGGCTAAGTAAAGAAAAAGCATTAATAAGATTTTTATCAATATTGTAGAACAAGTAGAAAAAATAAAAAAAGATTTCCTATACAATTATTTTATTTTGTATATCTATCCACTATCGATATCTCAAAATAATAATTGTAATATGTCAAAATTTGCATCTAACATACATCAGTAGAATTCTGATAAATTTTGTGCAAATAGTATGACAGTCATCTTATAAAGGTTTTGTTATTGATTCATCTGATTAATAACATTCTGATTTATTCAAAAAATACACACGAAGGAGATCAAGATCACACTGACACTCTTTTTTCTAATTCATTTCGATAAAATTGAAATAATTTTTTAGCTACTGGTTTTGCTAATTCAATAGCATCATTCAACTGTTTAATATCAAATTGTCCAATAGCATGTAAAGCTAAAACATCATTCAAAGTTGTTTCAAACACAATAACAAAATATGTTTTTGATGTTAATTCATCTTTTGTATTGGGTAATAAGAGAAGACCCTTTGTTGGATGTAAAACAACTGGTATTGAGGCAAATGCATATTTCATTGGTAAATTAGCATCCAACATTGTTAAACATAGCGTATTACATATACACGATAATAGTGTTGCTTCTCCTGCTAAATTTTGTTCTTCATATAAAATTAAATTTATTTGACTACGTGGATAACGTTGTTTAATTATGGTTGATTGTACAATAGTTTCTAACCATTGTTCAATTAATTTATCTAAATAAAATGTTAAACTACCTTGACGTGTTTGATATTGAACATCGATATGTAATTGATTTTTTGATGATTCTAGTTGTTGACGTTGTAATAATTCACTTGGACCATTCAATATACATGTACACATTGAATCATTTAATGTAAATGTGGCAGATCCAGTTGATTTCACGATGGATGATAATTGACAACTCACTTGACAATAATGTTCAATAGGTGATTCATCATTACCATTTTCCATAGACATAACATTTTTCTCATTCATCTGTAAATAAAAAAAGAAACAACGAAATATTCTTCTTTCTCACATTAAAAAGAAACATTTGAACAAACTTAAAACAGAGACATTTCACTGTCAGCAGTATCAAACATATATCAGATCACTTTCCATCAAGTCACTATAATCAGTATGTCAAACAACTCACTAAAACTTCAACGTTTAAAAATCAAAATTTACAAGTCAAATATTCACAATTCCAAATGTGATCACAACAAAAGTATTAAAAAATTAAAAACAATATTAAAATATATTACATTCTAAGTAATATTAGTAAATTGTAATTTAAATTATATATTCTCACTGTAGCATTCTCATGCAAAACGATTTTTAACAATAATAACATTCAGTCACAAAAATGTTAAAAAAATTAAAATATCTGATGATATGGACGGATGAAAATTACAAAAAAGAAAGATATCGATCATGTAGATAGATATCTTCATATAATAAACGGCTATAAAACCAAAGATAAATGTTTAAAGAATGTTGATTAATTTCTTGTCATTTAAACATGATCATCGTGCAATCCATTCCATCAATTGATGAAGATTATGACCAGTTTTTACATTTATCTCCATAACTTCAATACGACTTTGTCCACCGGTTTGAGTTATATTTTCACATTCAGTATTAATATCTCCGTCTGTCGTTGATACTGAACTATTTGTACTATTAGATACCCTATTTTTTAATTTGATATGATTATTTACTTGCGTCTGAGTTGATACTAATGTTTTCAAGTCGAATAATTCATTTAATTCATTTTGCGTCATTGAATTATCTTCCATATATTTATTAAGTATAATTAGAATATTTCGTTTAAAATTTAAAATAATATTTTCTAAATGTTCAATGACAAATGAAGATGCTGTCGCTTGAGTTGTATCAATGATATAAATAAGTTTATCAAATATAATTTTGTTATCACGCACAGACGATGATGAATAGGATGATTTCCATATTGGTGCAAGTATTCCTCCTAATTCATGTAGTTCAATCATTTTTCGTTTCCATTTAAATAATGTTAACGTTTTACCAATTGTTGATTGTATATGAATAAATTCATCGAAATTTTTTTGATGTAAACCATTTGATAATTCATCCAAACGTTTAATTAGTAACGACTTTCCACTACTTCGACAACCAAGTACAAGAATACTAATTTTTTGATTATTCGTTGTCATTCACATGCTACAATAAGTATAACATAGGATTAAATAGTATTCATCTTGTCCAACATTAAAAATGAAATGAAACAATATATATTTTTTTTGATCAGTCCAGAACAAAGCAAGATTTAGTTTCATTTACTCCTCGATGTTCCTGATATATGTTTCAATGTCTCAGAATACCCAGTACTACAGCATCTGGAACATTTTCAATAATAGAAACAAACTTGTAGTGTGCTACTAACGTGTGACATTTTTTGTGAATGAATAATTTAAAGATCGTGTAATAGATCAATAATATTATGAAGTATGTCAAAACAAAATCGATCTATGTTAACCTTGCTCCATGATTTAATGTGTAGGTATTACAAATATCACAGATAAAAAAAAAGAAAATTGAAAATAAACAAGTAAACAACAACAGAAAGATGTTTAAAAAAAAAATGACGGTATTGAACACAATCGAGTTAATTTCGCTTTACTTTTTTTCGGAGAAAAAATGCGTAGTTGATGGGCAAGAACAAAATTTTTATAATCTGAAAAAACACAAACAATGTAACTGGTTCTAGTGTAATAACGAAATTAAAAAAAAAGAATGAGACAGAATCCTTCAATTCTGTTATTCACGCAACAAACATAAAAGAAAAAAACTTCCGCAATCACACACATAGAAAATTATGTATCAAAGTAAAAAAGAAAACAAAAACCGAAGCAAGCATAGACAAAATTAAATTTGTTATGAAGAACAAATAAAATCTCTCTATGTTAGAGAGAACTTCGGAAAGAGTGAGCAAATTTCTATAACATCCATAATATTTTACCTCTATGCCAGACAGAACTCGGTCAGCAAACTTACTTTTTTTAAAATAATGTATCACACTTACAAAACGCAATATTTATCATCGTTATAAATGATAAAAAGAGAACTTAAACAATTTGTTTATGTTCAAAATTTTATCATCAATGCACAAATTTTTTCATTTAGACACGCACGTACATACATGCATATATATCTTGTTTACATAAATGGACTAAAGTTAAAAAACTGTACGAAGAGAATGTCTCATCTGTCATAAAGAAAAAAAAGAACTGATTCACATAGCCAGAACATTAAACTGTTGTGTTAAGTTTTGTTGTGCTGATGAAGCAGACGACGAATAGCTTGGTAGAGTGGAAGATAACGACGAGACAGAAGATGAGGAGTAGGGTGATGGTGGTGAGGTTGAATTTGTTTCTTGTTGCTGTTGTTGTGGCTGTGATTGTACTGTTAAGAATACGTTTGCCAATGGCCATAGTTTATGACACTCAGAACGATAATTTTCTATAATTTGTGTATCACATTGTCCAAAATCGCCCATTCGAAGAGATTCATAGATGCCTGAGCATGTCTAAAATAGAAAAAGAAGCAATGTTGATTCGGTAACTATAACCGAAAATGTTCAAGCATCAACTTACTGTGTAATTTTGATCTGTAGAAGATGGACTCAGTGTTGTCAAAAACTGAATGGCTTTTGTATTATTTGATGGATTTAATAACAACATCACCTTACTAGCTACAAAAAACAGAATACCGACCGCTGTTTTGAATAATTACAGAGCAATAATAACCATAAATAATGACCATACCTTCAATACGATGAGCTAAAGAATCTGAATGTTTTTCAATAAAATCAGCGTTCATATCTTCTATAGAACGACCATGTTTATATAATGTTTTTAACTCTTCTTCAATCAATACTTTTAAACGTTCATCTGTCCATGAATGTTTTTGAACTAAAAAAAGGAGTACACAATATCGATTGCGAATATTTTTATAGACGCTTTTAGTATACATACTTAACATCAAAAATTTCATCAAACAAGAATGAAATTTCGGATAATTCGGATTAAATTTTTTCATTCGTTTCAAACAACGTAACATCAGTGTACATTTCACTAATAATAAAGAGAACAACAGTATAAGATATAAAAATATGAATCATATTTTTGTACGTACGTCGTCTGTAATAAACTTCAAATCCTAAATATTGTGTTTCTAAATCGGACTGCGAAAAATCTTCTAATGGTTGTAAAAAACGCATTGCTTCATCAAGAGGTTTTTCTGACTAATATAATAAATTAAGATAAACATGTACCTTTTCTGGTCTAATTAACAAATACTTACTCTTTCTAATTTTTCTCCTACTAATTCTTCTTCTTTTATTTTTTCTTCTTCGCCATCATCTTTATTTTTATTCCGTTGTGATTCCTTTTTCTTTCTATCAGCTTCGATTTGTTTTTGTTTTTCTTGTTGTTCACGTGCTTGTTGTCGACGTTGTTTATTTTTATATTTTTTCATTTCACTAGCAGAAATGTTATCTAAATACATTTGATGTCTAAGAATCTATTATCAGATATGAATAGGTCTCAAAAACAAAAAATACCTGCATTTTCATTTTTGTCACTGTCATTTTCCGATAATGGATGATCATAAAGACGAATATAAATCTATTAAAACAAAAAAAACTCATAACAAACCATTATCATTTACTACGTATTAAATAGACATACTTCAACAGCCAGCTGTGCTGCCTGACGAAAAAAACGATGTCCTTTTATATGATCTTCTAAATTGAGCATGTCAACATAGGCACACAATACCATCTTTCGCAAACAATATGAATGAAAATCAAATTGATCTTCGATAAATTCTTGAAAATGCTAAAGTGAAAAAAGAAATGTTTGAGTTTTTCCTCTCTCTTAAAAATTCATACTTAATAATTTAGTCCTACCCTTTCAATTTCATGACATTTTTTCAATGCTTCACCATATTTCTTTAATCGTCGATATGCTTTAGCTGAATCTAATTCAAACCACATACACTGCATTTCTTTCAAATATTCTCCAGGACTAGATCCTTCCTAAAAATAACACTCATATAAAAAATCAAAAAAGTAAAATTTATTATTAATAAAACAAAAAGAGGAGTTCGACAGCTAGATCTATGTGCAAAATCTATTCTTCTTACTCTTGTAAATTTTCCAGCAACTTCGGATGCAACACTAATATGATTTGCTCTTAACAGATATTTGGTACATTTACAATTGACAAAACGATCAGCCGTGTCTAATGATTGTGCTTCATCCATTAATACTGCTGCCGCTTGAAAATCACCAGCATGCTAAAAAAATGAACAACAATTATTAAATGATGGAACCGACTCATCTAAATGCAAACTTTATAAATTTTTGCTTTAAACATATATAATTCCACAAGCGTTGGCGTATCATGTATAGCTGCATCAATAAATTCGAGTGCCCTGTTTGTGTCTTCAAGATAATCGTAATGTTGCGCCAAATAATATTGTAACCATAAAAGTGTTGTAGCTGGTTCGATATCTTCATCCACTACACCATTATTACCTACAGAAAAAAAAATTAGAACTCATTTGTTGTTAAAGAAGAACAATGATGAAGATACATACCATTTGAAAGTGAATCAAATGTTCCATGTGTGACTATATTTTTTAGATAGGTTTGTATTAAGGTGTCGATTATTTTCACCTATAGAGAGAGAAAAAGAAAAGAATTGATTATAAAATGCGTCCTGTAAATAAATACTTTACTTTTTCTGATGATGAATATAAAAATTTAACGGATTGAAATAATGATGGTACACCTTTCTGAAATCCTCGTTGTAAATATGATCCAACAGCATTAGAAAAAGGTTCACCTTAAAAAATAAATTAAATAATTATTGAATAAGCACCATTTGATAGCAGTAGAACTCCGTAATCAACGCGTTATCGTAAAATAGTTCTTTATAGAATTGGCTTTTTCTCTCAAAACTTCATCTAATAAAAATTTGGCTGCTATGCTTTCTTGGGTTAAAATGCAATTTTAAATTGATTGTTCAATCCTTTCTCTTAACAGTACCACATTGATATCTAACGTTACCTGTTAAAAACTGTAATCTTATTTGTTTTGGCGCATCGGCTCTCGGATACTTTTCAATTAAATCATCATAAAATTTCATTTTTTCATAACTTGTTGTCATATGTAAACATTTTTCTAAATCTAAATAATATTTTTTATTTTCAGCATTTCTCTCTATTAAATCTCTCAATATTGTTTCAGCTCGATCATATTGATTTAATAACATGTATAATTCATATTTAATCTCTTGTAATACTAATTTATTCAAAATATCTTTTTCATACATTTGTATATGTTTCAATGCTTCGTCATATTGTTTACCATCTCTCATTACCAAATTCTGATATAATAAAAATTCTGAATGTTCAATAGCGTATTGTTTTTCTGTTGGTTTATCTTGTTGAGTTTTACGATATTCTTCCAAAACACTAAATGCCATATCATAATCACCTAATAAATGATAGGACATGGCAAAACCGATCCATGATGCACGTTGACCAGGTTTTAAAATAAATAATTGATGGCGAGTATCCTACGTAAAAAATAATAAAGATAGGATAATAAATAGAAAGAGGAAGCTTGTCTTACTTTGTAACCCTCTAAATCGCGCATTTGTATCTGAAGTAGGGATAAATCGCGCAATATAGTTAAACTGTCCTATAAATGGCAAAAGAACGATGAATATACTAAATACAATTGCATTACGGAGTTTTACTTTTTCACATTGTAATGCGCGTTTGTAGGCTTTAATTGCTTCATCATATTTTCGTTCGGATCGTTGATATAAGCCGTAGACATGCCAACAAACATGACTTTGCATATTATTTTTGATACCATTACGAATATTTTCTAATGCTTCTTCTTTTTTCCCCGTTGAATTCAATATAAGACCTTTCATAGCTAATGTTTCTAAACAACAGTAGACAATCTTTTTAATACAAACATACACAAATACATGCACACAAATGTCTTACCCCCATGATTTGGGGCCTTCTTCAATATTTCTTTTGCAGCTGTAAGCCCTTTTTTATACTGTTTTTGCTCATAAAATCGCTAAAAAAAACAGGAAAATATGTTGACAATTTTCAGCACTATTATATATCTCGAAGATGAAGAACTTACAACAACTTTTTTGAATTGAGTTTGTTCGCGAGACGCTAACTGCTGACTTTGATTGACTGCTCCTGCTGCTGTTGATGATGGGGGCGTCGGAACCATGTTTTGTTATCTACAAAAAAAGAAACTAAGAAAGATTCGTAAAGATGATAAGAAAACACGAAAAAACAGGTGTCTCAAAAAGTCTAAGCATCAAAGTACGAGTGTATCACAAAAATTCTTAATTTAAGATTACATCAAATTAATGACTAGTCCGACTACCGTGCGTATGATTTTAACGAAGTTTTCCAGAAATATATGTAAAAGAAATATATTAGTATTCAAATTTTGCCGCTTCTGTCAACAGGTTCTTGATATGGAAAACTTAACATTTGTGATACGTACGCAACTGCCGTATGTACGTCGTAAGTAGATTAAGATTGTCTTCAACTTCAGATGGTCATAGTATGAATTTTCGATTCTATTTACCGTGTGAGCCGTTTCTATTTCTCAGTCGAGTGTACAGAAAAAACAGTTTGTCTATCTAACAAGGCTTGTTTTCCACTACCTGTCAAAGACTACGACGAAACGGCTATTTTAAATAGCTATTGGCAACAAGCCTTTATATCTTTCTGTGGTTAGGAAACGCTAGGACTGTGATTGGAAATTTCCGTCGTCCATTACAGACGCTTGTGCCTCTGCGGTATATCAATACGATGACAAAAATAAAAAGCGATTAATGCACTTCACGGCGTGACTGTCCGTTAGATACTATATATCACCACCAGAGTTGCTTGTTGTTCAGGTCAGAAATGTGGAATAAAAATTCCAAAATGCGGAAGAAAAATGGAAACGCATTTTCATGATCTAAGTTCGTCCTTTTTCACGCACAGAGAGTCAAAAAAATGTTTTCTCTAGCAGTTTATGGTTTTACTCAAAAAACATTAGACAACGACAAGAAATATAATCTCGATTTTAATTGACAAGTTGTTTTTTGACTGTATATTGCTGATTAGAATGAATCAGTTTAAGCAGTTCTGGCGTTGATATAATTATTAATTTCAGTGCATGATAACGATGAGTCGAAACGAATTTCACGAATTTTTAACTCGGGGAAAAAACAGCAAAAGCAGAAAATGCTTAAAATACGGACAAATTGCGGGAAAATCTAACAAATTCGGAATTTATCCGCAAAATGCGGACCATCGGGCAATTCTGATCACCACAATCAAATAGCATCACTCAAGAAATTAAAAATCTTAAACTGTCCAAGTATTTCGGTCCATTATGCCACGAAACTGGTTATGATCCGCACACCATGAAAACAAAAGAAGTTATAGTAAAAAAAAAAGTAGATCTTAATATGAATGTAAGCTGTTCTTATTTAGTTTATCATATTAGTATATGGCTGATGCTGTTTCTACAAAGCCGCTACTTCTGCACTTAATGTGATCAGAACTCCAGAAAAATAATTATTTCGTGTGAACTTTTCCTGTTTTCTGTAGACAGAGTCGTTAGAAGAACGTCTGGATTTTTTACAAGATTAAATTAGATTTTATTTCCGGTTTTCCGGTACTCGACAAATGTCGAGTAGTAAAGTAACAGATTCCTTCGCGTCGGAAAACATGTCCAGACTTCATTTCACACTGTCAGGATCTCGAAGAACAGTACAGCAACCCTAAGCAGTTTCTGAAGATCTGCTGGAGATCCTCTGGTGACGCATAGTACGCGCAATATCCATTTTACAACAAAAAGATAGACAGAATCCCTGGAAGTTTTTATAGAGAATCTAGGAAGACCTACTGAATGTCCGATGTGTGGACCATCAGATTCTCCATATGAAATTGCCTCTGATCTATAAGTTCTAGCTACTTAGAGCTAGAATAGAATAAATTCTCTCTATAGTTACTGTATTTTAAATTCGTCGTGTGAACAAACAAACATTTTATTTTATATGACCCTGACTGATGTTAAGGGAATATGGCATAAGTGTGTGAGAGAATTAATAAAATTTGTTCCTGTGATATCGCGTGATTGTTTAAAGCTAGGCCGCAGGTGTTCAAAAATTAACGTGAAGAATATTAGCTATGACTCACGATTAGAGTTTTTGGTGGAACACGAAGAGTCTTAGAACTCTCGAAGTGACTCTTATGCATAGTTTTGGCGCGACAAAACCCCTACAGTCGCTTCGCGAAATGTGAGGAAAACTGTAGTCGCGACGAAAGTCACGTTTCAGAACTCATTTAATCTTTTGTCTTGCAGTTGAAATTATATAAAAGAAAAGGCTTCAGAATTATACTTAGTTTTTTGTTCTGAAGTTTAATTTTCACATCAGGAATTGTATTCCCGATTGAAGGAACGCGACTTTCTCAACATTTATCAAATCGAGAATTTCTGAAGACAAGAAGATTATTTCGGGACTGCCGTCTCGACTATCATGAGTCATGCCGCTAAATAGCTCTTCGGCTCTAGAATCGCTATAAAAATAGCGATTGGCCTAGGATCATGACGAGATTCTAAGAGTTTGCCTAGAACTCGACGGGGTTGCGCCACGATGCCCCAAGTCCTGGCAAGACCTACCGCAACAAAATCGTGTTTGACTTTGCGACTCTTATCGTGATCTTACCATGATTTTTTGGATTAGTCTCGCCATGAGTTCAGAGTGAAAGTTGGCATGAATAATAAATTTCATTGTTTGTTTTCATCTTTTGAATCTTGCCTCGCTTAAGACCGTTCAGATAATGAAAAAGTTTTAAATGCCAGAAGTATGTTATACAGCTGTTTATATAAACTCTAACCAATGCAAAAACCAGTAGTTTTATATGCTCTCCATGACTATAGTCTTTTCAGAGAGAAAAAAATGTCTAAGGTATTGAAAAGGATGTTGTACCGTTTATACTGGAAAAGTATGATGGACAGATAGCTCTTGCTTTTCTTTCATTATAAATTAAATATGCAAAAGGTAAGTCTTAGCCGTTTTACCAAGGGGGAAAAGGCGGCTCCGGGAGCTTTCCAGAGCCGCTGAAATACTTTCTGATGCTTGAGATGCTCAGCATCCGGTGTTCTCCGATACTGAGGGATGCTCTTCGATGCTAAGAAAGAAAAAAGTCGTCTTTTCCCCCTTGTGTTTTATACACAAGGGTTAAATTAAATATTTTTCTTTTGAATATATGAGTGATAAATAGAAAGAGGAAATCTCCTTGTTGCAAGAGTTCAATGATGATTGAATGATACATTAAAGAAATTCGAATTTACAAGAAATCCACGTAAGGTAGACATACAACATGTAAAGATGGGAGAATCGTCTTCTCGAACAATTTCAATAATATCTAAAAATTAGAAGATAATGAAAATGATCTTATTTTTTGCCAATTAGCAAGTTAGCTTTCTAGTGATTACTTTCGAATGATCGATCACTCTATTTTGGCTAAGAACTTTGTCACCTATATCCAAAGGGCAGCTTGTCTTCAGTATTGTTTCTGCATCACACACATAATTGTCAGATTTGTGTTCTTTCAACATCACAGATTGTACGAAACATTGGACAGACTAAAGACGAACAGTTGAGAAGAACAGGTTTACGAAATCTAGCACGATGGAGACTGACGGCGATCTCCGTCAGAATGGCTGACAAACTGAGAGACTGAGTTTGTCAGGAAACGAGCCTGGTGAATCAACCAATGTGTTTCGGTAGTAGATGTGAATTGTTGACGGGAGTTTAGCGAGATTTTGATCGACCATGGCGAGACCAATAGCCCGACATAATTGAGTGCCATGTTGCTCTATGGCACCCATAGGCAAAATGATGACGATGTTTTATTTATTTGGCATCACGTCAATTTTTATCCATGTTAAATACTTACTGAATCGATCCTGTGGGATGTAATTACAAACATTCCGAGTAATAGAAACGTTCCATTTTATGTTAGTCAATGGATAAGACTATGAACACTTTATTCGAAACTAATAAGTTAGACGTTTTACGCTAAATGCTTTTCAGATATTTCTCCGTTAGCAATTTGTCCTCGAGCCCCTGTCACTATGATCTGTCGATGATCCATTTTCGACAGAATGTATGTAAATGTTTGGTGCGTCATAAATGAATGCGCTAAATTCCATTTTAGAAACAAAATGAGAGGCCTGACAACTTGCGAGTCGTATCATATCGTCTCAATAGATCGGTCATATATGAGGCTTTCTAAAGGCAGATCCAAATGTATCGTGAATCAAAAATTATTTAACTTATTATACTGAAAGCTCATACGCTATCTGAATTTGGGCCAAAGAATTCATTTCTCTCTCTTTTGTGAAATGCTTTTTAGCAGTTAGTAAATTGATTCTAATATATTATATTATATTTAAAAGATAAAAAATGAAATATGCCGATTTCTGATATATAATTAAATTACTTTAAGGATTATTTGTTCGTAAAGGAAAGTTAGGTCTAATATCAAGTAAATGGCATATTTGCGATATGTTTTCCTAGTGTTGATAAACTTTTTTCAATCCCATAATATTAAAAACACAGTAATCAGACGTTTGAATTCGGATTCGATGGTATTGTTATATTAATGCATCATTAAATTAGTAACGGCAAGAGTAAAGTAAAAAATCTAAGCCAAGTTAACAGGCAGTTCTACAGTGTGAGACATGTTTTTGAATTTTTCTGAACTTCGGATCATGCATGAAGCATTTGATGCGCATTGACCGTCTTCGGTCGGCTTAAGCTATTTTCTTCTAGAAGTTATTAATCACTTTTACTAAAATCAAACTCTTTCAGCCAAGCGTCTGTAAATCAAAGATGAACATTATATGTTTTATCTATTGAAATTATGACCAATAACTCATAAGATTTGCATGCTACATGATTTTGAAAGAACACTTAATCGTATCTGACATGCATGTGCATGGACTATCCACACGTTATTTAGACAGTTGCATGTATGCATGTGCTGCAAAAGTTCGCTTTTTGAAGTATTCGTTACACTCTACAAAATAAAGTTGCTGAATTGTAGATGAATACTGCAACTACAATGAAGGACTATAGTCGTTTTTGCTGATTATAAAGGCGAATTGATTGAGAATTTTTAGTAGTAACATTGTGTTTTGAAAAGTTAACAAATTCTATCTATGTTGGAATATTCATTTTGAATTATTGAAAATACTTTATAGCTTTGCTTTAAAACCTCTATGCTCAACGTGTTTAAAATTGTTAACTTAGTACAAAATGCATCTGGAGCGAAGTTCCACAGCTATATTTCCACATGGCTTTTTAAGATTAAAATAAAAACATCACGTTTATTACGATCACAAAAATTTTATATTTCAATTTTTTCTCGATGTTGCTTACAATAATAAAACCTAAGTTAGCCGCATTTGCTCAGTTTTTTTTGTTTGATTATCCATTTTGCTTTTCTTTCTTCAAATGATTACTAGAGATTTTTAATTAGTGTTACACTGATTCATATGGTTGTCACGTTAAACATGTTCAGAAAGATTATTTGAACGTGACTATTAGCTGCTAGTCACCGCTACTTTATGTAAAAATGTCATCTTCATTTGTTTAATCTTCATCAAAAAAACAAAATTGTTTCTAACACTGAGTCACTAATACCAGATGGTCCTCAAATAATCGGGAACTTTTGCAAATGAATAAAAAAAGTATAACTAAATGAAAACTTAATGAATGAAAATCTTAATGAAAACTCTACCAATTACAAACTCAAATGTTTTGAAAATCATTTCTTCTCGTATTATCTTTTCGATAAACATTTGAAAACAAGCTTATTCGATAGAAAATTTCATTTTCTACTCATCTATGTGCTTGAAATAAGGTTGTATTTGAAACCTCTGTTAAAATATGCAGAAAAGTAAAATGTTGTACAATAGTGTCACATCATTAACGATTTCCAACAATGTTTGATACATCATACAAATGTATGAAGCAAAAAACGTTTTCTATACCAAATGAGAGAGAAACTTTTCCTCTATCGATAAATTAATATTGCATTTTTGGTGAATGCTTCTGGCGCATTAGCAGTACAAAAGCAGGTTTAATGTTATCTCATATTCAGTTTAATGTAAAAGATGACTGAAAACTGATTTTAAAGTTTTTAATTTTATACAAAAAAAGACATACAACTTCATTCTCTATTATATCTAGACTATTTAAAAGAGAGACTATAACCATGTTTTAGTAATGCAAATGGCGAAAAACCGAGAGAAACGAGATGCGTAAGAAATATTTCGACAGAGGTTTCCGATATAACGTTATTTCGAGCACATAGATGATGAGAAAATGAAATTTTTCTATCGAATAAACTTGTTTTCAAATTTTTACCGAAAAGATAATACGAGAAAAAATGATTTCAAAAGTCTTCGATTATTTGAGGACCACCTGGTATTAGTGTCAGAAACAGTTTTGTTTTTTGATGAAGATTAAAAAAATGAAGACGACGTTTTTACATAAAGTAGCGGTAACTAACAACTAATAGAACAAATAGTGGAGTGGATGATGGAGTACAAGAATAATACAATCTGCTACTTCTGACAGTTAAAACGTATTAGTTTAAACAATAAAATAATGATTCTCAATGATTTGACATAAATTGTTCTATTAGTTTACTATACATAATTATGACAAAATATATCCGAATTATGAAACAAACTATGGTCATATCGTTGATCCTCTGGCGCCAGGTTTTATTGTTAGATGATCCGTCTCCAATAACCAAGTGTTCGTTAATTAAATTCAGAACGACCGAGCTCAAAGTTACGAAGTCAAGTACATCTCAAGAAGAATGCAATTATGATAACCCAAGCAATTACTTGCCTGATAACGGTCGCTAATCACTATAATTTAAATATTATCAAAGAAGTCTGAAGAATGAATGTTAATATAGAAACGCATACAGAGAAATTAAATGATGAAACAAATCAATGTGAGTCATCCATAGATTCAGATGAATCGGCTTCACTTCAAGAAAAACATACATTTCGAAGTATCGTGACTTCAGGATATAAATGGTTGTGTTCTCCTATTCGAACATGGTGTAAAAAGACGAAAGCAGCTAAACTATCTGTTACTATCGACCATAGTTTGTTAAATAACAATTACAATCACGTGAACGGATGTATGAAATATTTTACATTTGGCGTTCAATTTACAAATGGTATGTTTTGTTTTGCCATATTTATCGTCGGTCTATGGAGTTCATTTGAACAGCGAATAATCAATCGTATGTCTGTTGCAAAACAAATATCGCATGAATCAAATTTGAATATATTCAACCATATTGGTATTGCTTTATCTATTTTTGGTATTTCATGTATCATTTTATGTACAATTAGCAGTTTGGGAATTATAAGAGAAAATTTAACATTATTACGCATATCACTTACTGGACAATTTATTGCATTGATAATATTCTTTGTTTTGGTAGTCACATTTTTAGCAGTAGAAAAACATTTATCATATTATATTTCAAAAGTATTAATGACAGGATTAACAAAACGATATCATATTGACGATACGTGGAGAAAAATATTAGATAATCTTCAAACAATGTATCAATGTTGTGGCGTATTCATGTTTGGTGATTGGAATGACAATCCCAATTTTACTTGTACAAGCAAAAATATATTAATTAGTCCAGATGCATGTGCCGTACCTTTTACTTGTTGTAAAACAGGCAATAAAACAGCTTTGAGAAAGAAACATCTAGTTGTTAGTGAAATATTTCCAATAGTATGTTTTTTCTAAAACTTTGTACTTGAAACAAAACGACTAAACGAAACTTTATCTCATATAAAATATCTCGCAGATATTCATTAATGAGATGTATCACAGCTGTAGAATGAATTAATTACTAGAGGAACGATCGGATTATATTTCAGTCAAAGATCTGGTACTAACAGATAGATAAACAGACGAAAAGATTATTTTAAGAAAATAGTTTACCTTAGAGCAACGATCAATGTTGTGAAAGAAGCGTTTCTCTAACTGAGAAAATATAATACTACTATAAAATATATATCAAGACTTCGAATTTATGTTTCATATTTTGAGTTTTCAATGTGCTCTCATACCATCGTCAAGAAATAAATGATAAACAGAAGCAAAGACCTATTTTTTATACTTACACAGATGATTATAACTATTAATTAGTTGATATTTTGATTCATGTATATATATACGAACGTACTCGAATACACATGCTTCGTAACGACGATATGGGAGCATGTCGGAAGCTTAACATAAACAAACAAATTTAGGCTTTGTCAAAGTCTTGACATGTTTTTTTTAGTACTGTTACATTCCTCAACGTATTTATTAATTAAATTTGCTCTTCGATCGGCTTATTTAAGTGTTTTTTTGCTGTTTAGTCTGTCAGTCAATATCAAATGATATATTCAAATGATTCTCATCGACTACAACGACGAGTAGGAGTATCAACTACAGATGAATCATATATATATCCCGTATCGTATACTTGTGGTGCACATACTCTACCATTAAACCATACTCAAGTTAATTTTGCTTTATCTCAAAAGCTTATTAACACGAATGGTTGTTATGACGAGATTTCTCTCATTATTAAACAATTAGTGAACACTGCAATCTTCATTCTACTTATCCTTTGTTTTATTGCACTTATTACGATATTTCTTACCTGTATATTGGCATATCATATACGACTAACTATAAAACAAGTGGAAAGAAAATGTCGAAAAAGAAATATTACATTCAGGGGATCGGATCAACAATAATTCAGTTATTCCGTATATTACTCTTTTCGAAGATATACTCAGATATTTAGTTAGAATAATCATGTAGTATCAAAACGTAAAGTAATAGAAACTGTTCTAGTATACAAATCTCTATTAATATGATTGTACCGGATTCCATGACAATTTTCACAATACATTTCAGATAGCGAAGCGGATTCTGATTTCTGTAATTGATGAAAATTACCATCCTTGAATAATATTCTACAAACTTGCATCGCATAAATAATAGACTAGTCAATATCAGCTTTTTTTTACTGTTAGATAGCTGTTTATTTTTTTCGTACAATACAAACAAACATGCACACAAAAAGAAAAACCTGGTGACAAAATATATACATAGATGAATAAAAAAAGGAAAAACAAAGAAAACTTTTTTAGTTGCTGTTTACATACTAAAGGAAAACAACAACAACACTCTGTGAGAGTGGTGTATGAACACTAAGAAAAAACAAAAGCAAAGTAATATGCTTCAGTTATTGCCACATGTGAGACTTTTGGGCATTGATAAGAAAACAAAAAAAAGAAAGAAATACGTTCCGGGTTTTTTTTATTACAAAAAAAGCATTCTGTTTGTTTAGATAACTATCTGACTGGAAAAAATGTGTTCATTTAGGGGCACACTTTATCTCTCTAGAAACAAAAACAAAAAAAACGTTCTTACTAAAAAAGACATACAAGCTAGTGCAATGTAGGAAATAAAAAGCACAGAAGAGAGAGAGAGAGAGAGAGAGAAACAAAACATTATTCCGGGGTTTTGATTTTTTTGTATGTTTTGTTACAGCAAACAAAAAGTTTTATTTTATCAAGAAAAAAACAACGTCTATCAAAACATAAAACAAAAGGAACGAAAGAAACTCAGTAATATCGAACCGTTCGAGTATAAGTGTCCTCGAGAACTATAAAGTAAAGTAAATAGAAGAGTTATTCAGTAGTGTGACACCAGTTAAAATAACAATACATAAAGTTAACTTCGACAGAAGAAAATAATGTGAAGAGGTTTTCATTACATTTGATTATATGATCAACAAGTAATTTACTTCACTATTTAGAACATGTTTCGTTTCGAGACTGAGATCCACAAGAACATTGCGAATACAAACATGATCAATATCTGACGTCATAATGATGTTCATTTCTTTTAAATTTTTTCTTCATATTCATCGTATGGCTGAATACTATAATGTACAATGGATTCCAATATCCATTCTGGACTTAAAAAATGAATGTTGGCCTGTTTACAATTTTCATAATGTTGTAATTGTTCATTATTTGTACAGTTTAATTTTTCACATAAAACAACAGTTGTTTTTGTTGTATTACTCGTTGATAACGGTGATGGTAAACAATCAATAATATTTCCATTACATAATTTAATTAATGCAATTAGATCACTTTTTGACATTTTATTTTGACATCCATCACATTCAATAAAAAAATTAAAGTTTTGAAATAAACCACCATCGTCATTATAACGTACCAAACGTGATGTTCTCATACCGTCATGATAATCAGAATAGGGAACATCACCACGTATTTCAAATATTGTTTCATCAACGAGTTGATTTTTTGTAAGACATTCGGTTATCCATCGATGAGTAATGATAAATAAATGTCTAGAGATGGCTTGAAATACTTTAATTGTTAATGGACATAGTAACGGTCTCGCTTCGTCACCTGTAATCAGATGAGTAGTTTTTTCGTCGACCACATCAGATAAATGAATTAAAAATGTGGTAGAAAATCGTTCCAATTCCGTCTAGAATACAAATAATAGATAAGTAAGGTACAATAGCTCAATCTATGATAACTGTTTGAACAATGACAATAACTACTAGAAACTACACGAATCAGTCAGACTTCGTTAACCAAACACGTTTAAAAGCGAAACGTATTATGGTGAGAAAAGTAGAATTTTTAAATGTTCAAGATCATTATACGCACCATTTGTTCTAAATTCAAACATGTATAGGCTAAAACGATTTGTGTATTGGCCAGTTGTCGTTCACTATTTTGATAACGATTTGTTTCCGTTAGACTATGACTGATCGAGTAACCATCATCATTTGATAGACTTCGGTCGAGTTCATCAAATGATGATTCTAGAAAATAGAATAAAATAAATATAATTTTTTAATATCAACACAAACAACTCTTTTAGCAGAAATAAATTACCTTTATCCATATTCTGTTGTTGTTGTTGTTGATCACCACTTTTTGGCTTTTTACTATAAGCATTATGGGGCAATTTATTTTCTTTTCTCATTTTAACTCGGGCATTTGTAAACCATACGGTAATTTGAGATAATGACATTTTTGTCTTCTCCATTAACATTTGTTTATCACTTTCTTTTGGATCTAGAGAAAAATATCCTTTTTGCAGCTCAGTCTTCAAATGCTGTAAAAAGCTATCGTTATTTACATGGATGTTGTTGATGTTCGAACAACCACTGTTTTAGTGGTCCTAAACAGAGAAAAAAACGATTAAAAAAAGGTTATCATTGCAAGAAGGAACACAATACTTACCAGTTGAATTTCTTTCACGACCAGTTGTATTGAAGAGCGTAGATAGTTTATCATCATGCTCAGACATATTTTGTGGCTGGTAATCTGGAATAATAGCTAGAAGTTGAATTTTAGAACTTTAAGAGAACATCAAACACACATACCCGACGAAATACTATCATGTAACGACATTTCAGCTATTTCTTGACTTTTTACACGAGCTAAAAAAACACGTGAACATATCTTATTAATGACCACTCATTTTTCCCGAGAATCTTGTTAAATTTTTGTATTGAAATTCGCAAATTTTTCGTGTGTGTTGTTATCTGATTAGCGTAGCTATAAAATAGTTATGGCACTCACGTTCGTGGTCTCAAATGTTTTTGTTTTCAATCATGGTATAAATAATCTTCAAAAAGTTTTTCATTACCACTTTGTACATCAAAAAATTAAGGCGTTCTTCACCTTGGCTGGTTATAACTTTAGTATTTCCGATTAAGAATGGAAAGATAGTGATTTCTCCATCTTGAAATCTTTTTTGAGCTGAATACCCAGTCTTTTTATCTTTATTCACCAGCGAGTGCCGACATTTTTTTCTCCCATACAGACCGAAAACAATCGGAAATCCTATACAGTCTATAATGATATATTTACCGGATTTTTTTGGTAGCAAATGACCACTATTATTTAATGCTTTACTCTTTTTTTTCTTCTTTTTCTCTCCGGGAGTTGTTGTCACTATAGATAAATTATCAGTACTTTTTTTACTAGATCGTTTGTGACCATTTGAATTATTTAAAATAGTCGAATTATTCTGTTCAACATATTCGTACGGCATTTTTTTTTTATAATTCTAAAAATTTTCTACTTCGTGAAAAAATCGTTCCTAATTAGCCAAACATGTTCTAAAAACAATCAGTGAAATATAAGTATTAACCATTTATGAATGCATAAGAACTAAACTGACAATAAGAAAATTTCATCTTTAACATAGCTGCTCTACGAAAAAAAATTGCGTGTGAATTTCTGAGACTTGGATAAATGTTTTCGCTTTGTCCTTTTCTACAGTAAGAACATCAAACATTTCATCGCAAACTATTAGAAGTCAAATATACTTTTGGTGGAAAGTAGAGCAATGCCAGTAAATCGATAAGTAGAGATTTGTTTGTTTCTGTTTTGGTTTGTTTAAAAAGCTCTTAACGTCCATCTTTTTCTTGTTGGTACCGATCCTCTACTGGCAGAATAAAATATTATTATCACGATCCATTTTTTCTGTCATTTTTAATAGAAAACAGAATCAAGTGTAAAATAGCTCTTGTCCCGTCGTCGTCTGATTGCATTCGAAGAGGGTAGCTATAGACATTTGATTGGTTCTTTCTCTCTGATAAAAAAATTAGTATGGCTGAAATTACATGAAGAGTAGAATGTCACATTGCCAAAAAAAAAGTGACATGAAATCCGTGGTAAAGTTGTAAGAAACCTTTGATATCATTTCTTGTGACTTTTATTGTGACCATTAGTTTCTACAGTGCATCAAACGGTGTATCTGTCTCTCGGCTCCGAATATATATATATATACAAGGTAACGCTCGTCTCCACTCGCTCGGTCCCTTGACTTCCTTAAGTTGGATCTGCGCAAGCGAACGTCCTTTCGTGACTTTTAAATCGAACACAATGCTCACGCCTCCCTTCCTTCGGCGCTCGCTGGGCGCCTAACTAAGGTATCTTCTGGATTTTTGTTCATTTTTTATGTATAAGGTTCGTAGTCTGATATTAATATATAAATCAAGAATCTCTAGAGGTCTAGACATAATTCTGAATTCAAAACAATGCTCACGCCTCCCTTCGGTCGGCGCTCGCTGGAAACCTGCCTAAGCATCTTCTGATTTTTTTTCTGTTTTCATGTGTAAGGTTCGTAAACTAATATAAATAAAGCAAAAATCTCAAAAGATCTAAAACTATTTCTGAATCAAAACAATGCTCACGCTTCTCATCTGTCGGCGTTCGCAACCAGTATAGATGAGAAACGCGATGAACTTCTCTGATCCCACCAAAAAA